TCTTTATGTGTTCTTGTAAGAACCTATTTTCAAATTCCAATCCGCGTCCATCACCTTTAAGAAATTCAAAGTTTTTAATTTTAACTTTCATTGATCTACCGATGTATATGCATGATGTATATGCATTACAGCGATTCGCAATCATAACTAAATTTTCTATTACGGTTACAACAACTAGAATAAGGTCTGAGAAGATCTCTTAAAGTATATTAGATAAGTGACTTGGCTAGAAGCTTACTTGAATTGATCAATTTTTTGGAAATTTCAAGTATAGATAACGTGGGCTTACGTACGGTAAGAGTTTCAGTCATTCATAAATTATCCCCAATATCTGAGAAAATTGAAACTGTCCTAAACGTTTTATGAAACAACCAAATCCAATGGACAGAACTTATTTTTATATCTAACAAATTTTCTTCATTAACTGGCGTTTTGAGGTCGACTTAATTACATTCTTCAGCTCGTTCGAGAATTTACACATCATCTCTTTTTCCAAAAGTTCTGATAATGTACTAGAATTTAATTTATTGAGATTCCATTTGGATCTATTGACTGAACTTTAAAATTAGCCCATTGGTCGGAAGATAAAAGCGTACAGTTGCTAAATGATTTGAAAAGAACACAAAACAGGTACGAAGAAAATTATATCGGATCAACCTGTTCCATGCCTAATGAGTAAAAAAACAGAGATGTACCGATGTGTATTCAGTTTACGTGTTGCTGTAGGCCTGTGTCTTCCGAACGATTGCAACATCAAACTATATGCAAAAGCTTTCAATGTTTTTATCAAATTCTTGTCCTACTTAAATCGATATCACCACGAGAGAGGTGAGCAGACGCTTACATTAATTCGGAATTCGATACTGATCATTCTGCGGATAATTTTTCAGATCCTAGCAACCGTTTTCACCAACTTCCTACGGTGATGGGTATGAAAATGAAGCAAATGAAAATTTCGATGCATTACTTTACATACATACATTAGTCTGAACATTTAATGGCAGCATTCTCTACAATCAAAGTGGTGAGCATCCAATATACTCCTAAAGATAAATACTCTCTTAGCGCCTACGCGCATCCTTTGCAGGTCTTTATAATTACCATAGGGAAATATATATCAAATATGAGAAAGAAGTTTTGCCTACACTTTGTGTATGAGTTAGAATATATTTCTATTATGGAAATTATCCAACTTAGGTTTTAGATGTACGGCGGACTTTAATTATTGAAAAATATCGCTACATAAAATGTTTATACTACTTTATTACTCAAACTAAAGTAATTTGAAAATAAATTCTTCTAGCGAATCATTTTTTTTTTTTTTTTTTTTTTTTTTTAATAAACGTGAAATTGTAAGAAATATTTCATTTTTTCATTATCATCATATCTTTTTATGTTTTTCTTTGTAGTTTCGAAGTAAAATTAAAATATGAAAAGCACAAAGAAACAGAAAAAGAATTATTTCAATTTAATTTGCTGCAAAACAAAAGATAAACAAGTAAGAAAGACACGTTCAACATAAGGCGAAACTTAGATATCCATTCAAGTAAATATTTAACTATCAACTTTCGGAATGGGCACAAATCCGGTCGGTTCTACGGTAGGGTAACGGATAGCAACATTTTCAAAATTTCCATTTATTTATGTTTATGTTATGTTGTTTTTAGCGCCGGCAAATGCATTATTTGGGAGGAAAGCTTTCACATTTAATTTCTTTTTTTTTTTTCAAAGTTTTTTACTATCATCGCAATGTGACATCCATCCAACTGCATCTTACTAAACTATTTCAGATTTGAGAGTTTCTATTGTATATTTGACAAACGTTACGTTAAAATAAGTTTACTCCTAGCATTTGTGAATGATGATAGACAGAAAAGAATATAACAAAAAAAAAAAAAAAAAAAAAAAAGTAAAACACAAAAAGGAGCGGAAAAGAGATAGAGTATAGTTGCTTACAAATCATTTGGCATAATATTCACATAAAAATAAATTGTGTCGAAATATTATATTTCTCCTCTCAAGATCTCTGTGAATATAAATGTGGAGATAGAACAAGCAAACAATCCATACAACCACATACAAAAAAACAAATGAACAAACAAACAAATATCTAATAACAATAACAAGATTTTTCCAAACACAATACTAAACTATAACGAATGTCCTTTTAAAGTCTGTATAGGTTGGATGTATTTTAATTTTTCTTTTTTTTTTTTTTGCAATTTCTTGTTATCTAAATGATTTCTCTTGTTATTTGTTTTCCTTATTCTTTGCTTATTTGACCAATTATCCAAATAAACAAATTGCAAAAAATTTTCATATTTTTTCATTTTTGCAAACTAAGGCATAAAAATAATGATATTAAATAAATTTCATAATAAATAGGCGTCCAATAGGCTAACAAAAGTTATGATGTAATGACAGTTGGGTATAAATTAAATAAAAAAATAAATAAATAAATAAGCAAATATTTTGTTTCTTTCACCAATTTTCAATAATAAATCAATAAATTGCACATAAAGTGTGTGCGTGTGCGTGTGTGTGTGTGTGTGAAGCAATAAAAAAAAGCTTTGAGGCGTAGCCTTTATAATCATCAGGTAATATATGCTTTTGGAAAACATCTTTCCTAACAAATTGAATGAAAAATACTTTTGTGAACAGAAGCCATCCAATAAAGAACATAACAAGGTCAATGTAGAATCTTATACTAATCAATAGGACATATATATATAAAGTGTAAGTAGTCTGCCCATGCAGAGCAAGAGTGTTACGCATATCAAGGCATCTTATACTAATCAAAAGGACCTATATATAAAGTCTAAGCA